GTTTCCTTGGTCCCCGACAGTGCCCCCCTCCTCGAGTGTGCCTGGTTTTCGAATTAGGCCACTCCCGGCCGAAATGTGCTGCACCCCAGACAGAAATGTCTGTCCACCCCAGACACACAAACGTGCACAAGAGCAGAAACTGACTGAGCCCCTTCATCCAATTCATTAGGGTCAGCCTGGTCTGTGTGTGTGTGTGTGTGTGTGTGTGTGTGTGTGTGTGTGTGGTCACTGTGTGTGGTCTGCTGTGTCTCTGCCTGCCTGTCTGCCTGCGTGCCTGCCTGTCTGTCTGTCTCTGTCTGTCTCTCTTGGTTCAGAGCCTAACAGTGAACCCTCGGTTTCTGAACCCTAGCAGGACTCGAGGAAGGCAGGAGTCGGTCTGGTCTGTCTGTCTGTCTCTCTTTCTCTCTGGCGCCACCCTGTGGCGCCTCTGGGGAACTGCAGAACCCCGGTTTGGCGCGTACCACGGTGATGGGGTGGGGCTCGCTAGCGTTCGCGACCTCCGGAGCAGAATGCGCATGCTCTCGCGGGTGGCAGGGACGGAGGGAGGGGCAGAGGGGCCGAGGGGGCGGGGGAAGGAGGAGGAGGAGGAGCAGGCTGACTCGCGCGCCACGCCCTGTGGCGGCTCTCGGGCTCTGCAGGGTTAGGGTTCAACTCTTTCTGGCTGATTGATTGACTGGCTGATTGACTGACTGGATGCTTGATTGATTGATTGATTGCCTGGCTGCCTGCCTGAGTGGTGCGGCGAGCCAGAAAAGAAGAAGAAGCAGCAGCTTTCGAGGGAGGGAGGGACGGACGGACAGAGAGAGAGTCAGTGTTTGTTTTATGTGTCCAGCATCAGTGGCAAACGCCCCCTTCTCGAGTTTCCTTGGGCCTCGACAGTGCCCCCTCCTCGAGTGTGCCTGGTGTTCGAAAGGTGCCCTAACCCGAGATGTCCACCCCAGACAGACAGACAGACAGAGAGAAATGTGCTGCACCCCAGGCAGGCAGGGAGAAATGCCCTAACCCAGGCAGGCAGGCAGGGAGGGCGGGAGAAACAATGTCCACCCCAGGCAGAGAGGGAGAAACAATGTCCGTCCACCCCAGACAAATGTGCTGCAGCCCAGGAGCCGAAACTGAGCCCCTAATTCAGCGAATGAATGAATTAGGGTCAGCTTCGTCTGTGTGTGGTCACTGTATGTGTGTGTGCATGTGTGTGGTCTGTCTGGTGTGTCTCTCTCTCTCTATGTCTCTGTGTCTCTGTGTCTGTCGGTCTGTCTTTCTTGGTTTCAGAGTGTAACAGTGAACCCTCGCTTTCCAAACACTCGGCTCCCCAATCCTGACCCTAACCCTAACCCTTGACCCCTGACCCTTGACCCCTGACCCTGACCCTGACCCAACACCCTAACCCAACACCCTAACCCTGACCCTAACACCCTGACTGTAACACCCTGACCCTAACACCCTGACCCTAACCCTGACCCTAATCTTTAAACATAGCCAGCCAGTCTAGATAGTGTCCGCCAGTAAGAACAGCTCCATCCAGTTGTTTCCAGTCTGTGAGGCAGTTCATTTCCATGCTAATTGTTTCATTTAAGTGTTGTGCAAACGGGCCTTGAAGGCCATCTTCCCTAACGGCTTCTCTCAAGCATTTAAGAGTGGAATGTTCATGGGGGTACCATCTTAAGGGGCGTGCAGGATTTTGGTGTACATTTACAGGAAACATATCATTTATTTCGGTTTCCTATTGTTCCCAATTTTTTCCTTGGCTATGTCTTATCTTACATAATCCTTCATAATAATCATCCCATTGTTGGGGCAGTTTCACTTTAAAATCTCTTTTTGTATGATATTCAAACAGACTCCTCCGCCACGGCCGTCAACCAGACCTCTGGACCCCTTTTTCCCACAAGCATGGTTTTCATTGTTGACACCATGGATTTTTAGGGTGTGGTATTATTGTATGGTCAGCACCTGGCGCTACAATATAAGCTGGAGGCTCGTCCCAGTCAAGCTCCACTTTCATCAAAGGGCAGGGCTTATTGTGTGACAAACAGGAAGTAGCCCGGGCGGGGAGGTTTTGTTCGGCGTCATCAGGGGTGGAGAATTTTCGCTTGGCGCCATCCTTGGTTCTTGTTTTAAGGGGGCGAGTGAGGGGTATAGATTGTGTGGTTTAGGCTGGGGAGTCAAGGGTTTTATATCGTCTGGCTTGGGGGTTTCTTTGGCATTTGGTTCAGACGGGAGGGGCACCGACAAGGAGAGGTGTTTCTCGAGCTGTTCCGTGAGGGACGGCTCAGCATCTGGGGCTGCCGCCGCACATGCAGCAGAGTCCGCCAGAAGAGGGAAGGCTTCTGAATCCTCCCCGGTAGTGCTTTCCGAGCCTGTTAAGCAAGCTCTGATAGTAAGTAAGGCAGGCAGGAGCCCTACGGGAAAGATTTTCCCTTCATGTTGTTCCGCCGTTTGGACCGGCCGGATAAGGCAGGACCATGTTTGTGGGTCCCACAGGTTAGCAGTTTTCAGCCAAGGATTAAAGGGAAGGAGAATCGCCCAGTACTGGGAGAGGGTCTTATAAGATTTTACAATGTCTAGCCTGTAAGAGAGCAGCAAGTGCCCGTGCCTGCGGGTGTTGCTCCTTATGAAGTGCAGGACCCATGTTGTGGGCGGGGGCCACTTACCAATTCCCAGGGGGCGCGCAGGGTCCCTGTTAGAGGCGCCACTTGAGGTCAAACCTCTCGGGTTGAGGGACCTGGGCCCGTGGTAAGCGGTGACACAGTGAGAAGAGACACTGGAGACCAGGCTGATGGCGCAGATCCCTTTTATTGCGGAAGTACCAAGCGTTTTATAGAGGAGGCTAGAGGCGTGGCAATGGAGGCGGGCTAGGGGCGTGGTTTCAGGTGGTACTATTCGTGGGGGCAGTGCAGACGAGGTCTGAGCGGGACAACCTAGGTGGGGCGACTCACTGGGTTTGCCGAGGACCTGACGAGTCTGCATTTGCTCAGACCTGCTCCTCTGCCACGGCCATCAACCAGACCTCTGCACCCCTTTTTCCCACAAGCATGGTTTTCATTGTTGACACCATCTTTGCATTTATCTGAGATTATTTTTGATTTGATTTTTTCTAGAGTCTCATTCAGTTGCTTTGCTGTTACCACTTCAAAGAGGTCAGGTGGGTGGTTTTCAGACTGTCCCACCTCATTGCCTACTGGGTTTGCCTTTGGTGATGTATGGGGTTGCATCATGTTTAAGTGTCTCAGCATTTTCTTTTTCCTCTTTTTAGTTTAATTCCTGGGGTCATGTTTATAACAGCTGTTTAGAACATTTATGTCACTTTTGGCTATAGTGGTATCAATAACAGTAACACAAAACACCACATAGGAAATGACGAAACTAAAGTAACTATTCATTTGGCACCTTTCACCATATGAACTGGATTTGTGGTTATATAACAAAATCTAAAACAAACCAGAAGATTGTATGCAGTATACAAGTCCTTAGTATGTCAAATACAATTTTTAATTTTAGTTTTCTGAGGAAACTACATACTGATTTCCATAGTGGTTGTACTGGTTTACATTTTCACCAAAAATGTAGAAGTGTTAGACCGTATCAAATTAAAAATCTGCACAACAAATTGCTTTTATTTCTATCAAAATGTCATTTTTGTTTTGATAGAAATTATATAGGATCTATATACTGCTTTGGGCATCATGGACATTTAATCAATATCAATTGCTTTAATTCATGAATATGGAATGGGATCTTTCCATTTTTTGTTTCTTCAGTTTTTTTGCAGTACTTGGTATTTCCTCCTAGGGCTTCTTAGTAAACTGTATTCTTAGACCCCTTCTTTTCTTTTCTTTCTTTCTTTCTTTATTCTTTTCCTTTCCTTATGACCAGGGAGCACTGGGGATCTCTTGTAGCAAAACCCCAAAAGTTCCTGGCATTACTGAAGCCATCTAAAGGCACTGTGTTGAACTCTTCCCACATGCAAAAGTCCTCTGTTCATCACTGATCCCCACTAGTGACCCAGACAGCGGACACAACCTGTTTCTGTTCCTCCTTTGTAAGCCCTCCTGAGTCTTGTGCCCTACAGCTTCTCTGCCATATCCCCACTGTGCCCCAGCACTCTCTGGGAAAGTCTCCAGGTGCACAGTAGTTATTTGTTTTGGTCCTTTCTTTTAGAAAGGAAGCACACAAAGCATCTCTGATAATGTACCGGCATACATCAACCTTCTGACTGTATTTGCCAGGCACGATGGTATACACCTGGAATCCCAGCACTCAGGAAGCAAAAGCAGGAGGATCGCCATGAGTTTGAGGTCAGCCTGGGCTGCATAAGTGAGTTGAAGGCCAGCCTGAACTACACAGTGAGGCCCTATTGCAAAAAATATAATGATTACCGCAGTTAGAATGGCATCACAGCATCAGGGAATAAAGGCACTGTCCTCATTGCATTCAGTAGCAATAATTCCCCCAGAACAACTCCACTGCTGACAAAAATTCCTTTGAAACTGTTGTCACTGATAAGTTATACCATCATTTATAGTTTTGGAGTGATTACTAGAATTCAGGATACTGTTTTGGAGACAAGGTATGGTCCTGCACAGCAGTTTGGGTTATTTTTGGTTCATATGGTGGAAAAATTACCATCTAATTAAAAGTCACTGCAATATAAACAAGAAAAGTATAATTTTGATGGTGAGAAAACAGAATTTTGCTGGGCATGGTGGGGCATGCTTGTAATCCCAGCACTCAGGAGGATGAGGCAGGATTGCCACAAGTTCGAGACCAGCCTGCACTATATAGCAAGACCCTGTCTGAAAAAACAAACAAACAAGATTTTATGTAAACAATAATATTGGGTCTAATATGAAAGGAAAATAGGCAAAATTATGTACATGATATAATATACAATGTTGGGATATAATTAGGTATCTTGTCAAGATATGAGAAACATCACATGGTAATCTACAAGTTGTGTGAAAACAAATCAACTTTGCCAAAAACACATGTTCACAAGTCTCTCAAAATATATATCTTAATATAAAATATGCATTTAAATTACAAATAGTTTTTGTTACACAGAATACAGAGTATACATACAAAAAATTTCCAACAAAGATAGTGGCAAAATCCTAATGACTACCAAACAGCATTAACAACATTAAGTTTTTTAGTGGCCCATACCTCACAATTATATATGTGCTGCTGAAGTGAGCGCTATACCTCCCAACTGTAAAGACTAAACAAAAACTATGTAAATATTAACTCTACTTGAAAGTAAAAAATATATTTAAATTCACCATGTTTAATTATAAGACACTATGTACCAAGCTCAAAGACACTTAAAAATATCTAATGTCAATTCAATATTTTTATATTAAACACTGCATATTTGTAATCCAGATATTTAAGTAATTTACTGAAAAACATATAATGTATATATTTACTGGAAATTTTATGGAGAAATGCTGACAATAAGCTTTCTGTACTAATTATTCCTACAGGTGTCCACTGCATAAATTCTCACAGCATATTCAAAATAGGCTGCTGTCATGTGTTTTTTCTGACAGGGTGTTAGTATATAGTGCAGGCTGGCCTCAAATTCACCTGTGTAGTGCAGGCCAGTTCTGTCATGTATTTGACAATACGTATGTGTACTGAAAGTATTCCCACATTGCTTACATAATATGGTTTCTCTCCATTGTGAGTTCTTTTATGTCTTCGGCAAACATCATGAATGCTGACAGCTTTCCCATATTGCTTAAATATACAAAATTAATGCAAAGTCTGAGGTCTTTCATGTATTTTATAATAACCTGGTGTACTAAAAGCTTTTGTACATTACTCAGATGCACAGGGCTTCTCTCCAATGTAAATTCTTTCATATATTTTATAGTAATGTTGTATATTAAAAGCTTTTCCACATTGCTTAGTTTCTCCCCTTTGTGACTTCTTTCATCTATTTTACAATAACCTTGTGTACTAAAAGCTTTCCCACACTGTGTACATACCTAGGGTTTCTCCTGAGTGTGAGTTTTCTCATGTATTTTACAATACTCTTGTTTACTAAAAGCTTTTCCATATTGCTTACATACATAAAGTTTATCCTGTGTGACTTCTTTCATGTGTTTTCAAGAACCTCGTGTACTAAAAGCTTTCCCACAATGCTTACTTAGATACATAGGGTTTCTCCCCAGTGTGAATTCTTTCATGCTTTAGACAACCAGTACGTGTGCTAAAAGCTTTTCCACATTGCTTACATACATAGGGTTTCTCCCCTGTGTGAATTCTTTCATGTACTTTACAATAATACTGTCTACTAAAACCTTTTCCACATTGCTTACATACATAGGGTTTCTCCCCAGTGTGAGTTCTTTCATGGATTTTACAAGAACCTCGTGTACTAAAACCT